GTGATGTCAACAGGAATGAGGCCCTCCCACTGCGTTTTCACTATCGGTTCTTTTCTCCCTTCAATTAGTAACTGGTCTCTATTTGTAGAAAAGAGAGCTGGGCAGGCTTATTCCGCGCTTCTTGACACCGCCCTGATTGACGACGATATGTGCTGTATCTGAAGTCAGCCACTGCTTACTATTGACTCTCTTGTTCACATTGGCTGTGCCTTTACAATATTCAAAAACCCTTCCTATAATTGTTGAGGCAATCGTCTCGCTTGTAAGCCAACATATAAGGAAAGCAGGTTCATAGCTCGACTTACCATCCTTCCTTTGTTGATAATAGCGAGGCCACTGTCATCGTTCATTCATTTCACTAACAAACAGAAGTACACCGGTACTGGCACTAGTCATTCACAGGCCTGAAAGAAAGTGCGTGTATTGAAGGATTACCAGGGCACTTAATGAGCGCATGAGGAAGGACACCTGTCAGACGTGGTTCAAAAACAATAAGATCATTGGCACCACCAATTATTACAACCCAAGAATAACCTCCGGGTTCAATTTTTCTGATCACAGGTAACCCCCAACAGGTCGATCCGGCCATTTGCAGTGAGATGTATAAATATGGACGTGTCTTGAGCTGCTGAATCCAAATCTGCCCTTCTATTTTGCGGAACGATCTCCAAAAGGAGTTACGGGACATTTAATCTTTCGCTCGTTGCACAGTTGAAAGGGATAACTGCAAGCTGCCAACGCAGTCCCGATGCCTAGTGGAAAGTGCATTGCTCTTCAGACACACGAGTGGTCGAGTGTGAATCCTTTAGCGCTCCTGTAATCTTTTGCTTTTCAGTTCAAAACAGTTGTATGGCCCTGTCCAAATTCTGTTTGATTCACCTTGGTTCGTCGATTATTTGCCAACAGAGGCGGGCCGCGCATTCCCCATGTGACTGTTATTTTGAAAATCTTTTTATTATGAGGATAGAACCAATGTTCACAAGGTGTGCAATGAAATATCAATGCATATCATATTCAGCAGGTCAAATTACCTCGGGACAATTCTAGCCGAACTCTGAATTTTCGACCGAAAGTGTAAGCTTTGCCTATTAGGAGTAATCGGCGACTTTGGACAATAAAAAACAGCCATTTTTTTGCGGCCAATAACGCCGGATTTGACGAAAACCACATTCTCTCACAAAATCGGCTAATAACTCCACACTAAGCTTTTTTTGGAAATCTAATTAAGAATAGCTTTTCTTCTGTGGCAAAAGGCATTTGCCAACAATTTCTCGCATGTCGGCGCAATTGGCCGATTACACAGAGGCACTAAGGTCGGCTCTACTCTTTGCAGCCTTAGGGAAAGGAAACCTTTTCTCCTTTTGGACTCAGCCTCAAGAAGAACGCTTAATAGCGTTGGCCATGAAAAACGGATGTCACATTCGTATCCATTCACATCCATTTTTCTGGAGTGACCAAGCAGTAGGAAAGAGTAAGGTGTTAGCCTGTCTGCGCCCACAGGGTCATTACGGAATTCTTATTATAAATGAAATAAAAACTCTGCGCGGGTCGTAGTTGGGGTCAGAAAATGTATGATTACTCTCTGAAATGCAAATAAGCTCTAGATTTCTCCACCGCTCCCCACTAAATGAAGAAACGAGCAAAACTCACTCGCACACATAAAGAAAACTGTTTTTCAGAGCGTTTCAACGGTAAAAGTGGCGAAGTATGAGGAACTTTTCGACTGCATTTGGATTTATGCGCCCAAGAAGCTGAACATCAGCGCTACTAGAAATGAGCTCAGGACTGCTCTGGATGGTATTCCTGACTGGTGGTTCCTCACTGTTCAAATGGTCAGTGGTTCAACTTCTATTTTCTTGAGTTCTCTTCAGCTTCTTGAGCACCATTTCTATGGTTTAGCATTGAAATTATTCATTACTAATTACCCATTGAAAATCGTAGCGAAGGCCAAATAATTTCTATTTTTGGCTATAAGTTGGATTTTTTATGAGGTGCTTCTTTTCAGCTCGGCATCTATGAGAGCGCTTGTGACATTGATGCGCTGTCGTTGGTGTCCAAAGCTCCTCACTGTGCTTCACTTCGTATTGGTGAGTACATCTATCTCATTATCAGTGACGATGAATCGCTTGACTACTGATTATTCTTCAAAAAAGATAGTTTTCAGATCCATGTTTCACCATCGACAGCGTGACATCGTTACTGGACTGCATGAGACAAATTCACGAATTGAAGTACATACGTTCGTTACACAAGGAATCGTTACGATAAGTGATGATTCGATAATTCATCGTAGGATTAGCCCGTAGAAACTAACCACGCTAGTCTACAAACTTCCCAGCTTTTGCATGTTGAGCTATTAGCAGGCCTCAGTAGAAAGCCACCAGGGAATGTCCTCATTCTTCATAAGCTGTAAGCTCTCTTCGGGTATCTGATCCCTGTCATTTGCTTGGTGAAAGGGAACGGGGTTAGTGAATAGTGCCACTTCCATCACTTGGAAGTGCTCCGAAATGGACTGAGATTACTTTTATCCGTGTGCCGTTGCTTGCTTCACCCACAGGGAAAGCATGAAGACGCAACGCGCCGCCCGACCATTCATACGCCTATCTATAGCCATGCGCGCTACTTGTTTGCGCCCTCTGACGCTTGGTTGTCTCCTTCCTTGGGAAGCCACCTTCTGGCTCGTCACACCTTATTTTGCTCGCTCGTTGGCATAGGCAGCAGCTGTCCTCGGTCCTCCATGCAGAGTTCTGGAAAGACCACTCACAAGTGTCCAAGTAGTCCCCTAAGCGGTGGTAGAGCGGTGGTTCATGCTCAGTTTGTAGGACTACTCTCACCTTTGGTACAACCCCTTATACAGTTTGTACTACCGCGAAAGGCAGCTCACGGATGATGTTGTTCGCTGCGGGGCATCACACATGTCTGCTAACAGCGGATGGAACTCGAGACTATCCTCCTTTTACCCCTCCCCCCTACTCACCACCCGCCTCCCCCAGCTTCATTTCTAGGCGTTTCCAAGCAATGAAAAATGCATGCTTCCACTGCTTTCACTTCGCACATGGTAGATACAGCTCGCAAGTAAGCCTAGAGCGCATTATTGAAGGAAATGTTGGGGTGGAGGGTTGAAAGTAGGCCTTTTCTGATAGTGAGAAAACTCATCCGGTTCGACCCTGTTTTGTGAACCGCGTGGTGGAACTTTGATGGTCTATAGAATTGGAACAGCATCTCTTCGACAAAACACTACCGTTAATTTTGGGTTTAGGGATTGGGGAATAATTGGCCCACGAAAAAAGGTACCGCACTCCCGCGTCTGACCAGTACCACGATAAAGAAAGGGTCGTCATCTAGGTGTCATCTGGAAAATCTCTCAGTGTGCTGTGCTGTGATTCCCGCCTTGAACAACACTCCCTTTAGAATTAGGGTAATCAATCAGTACGATGCAAGATGTATTGTGATGATCTCAGTGATGCTGTTTTAGAATTCGAACAACGTCGAAGACAATCACCGCCGACGATACCACCTTAGATGCACTGATACCGCTGTCGATCGCTTGTCCACAAGGATTACAGTCGTTTTGGGTGGATTCCATATCTACAGACTTTTCTCTTGCGAAAATGTTTGAGTTACTGGAGGTGAGTATTCCTACAGCTTCAAGATCTTCACACTATTCTATTGCGGCATGGGGCAATGTTACCTTCTTGCCAGCTTGCACGGAGGAGCTACGCAGGAATTAAGTACAAATTGGCCTTAGGCAGCGTTCAGACTTCGCGACGGCAGCGCTTCGGTCGCGCGTTCGACGCGATCGATGCAGTCGAAAGCATGCGCATCGATCGCGCCGAACGCGTGACCGAGGCGCTGCCGTCGCGAAGTCTGAACGCTGCCTTAGCTATTTCTCCACGTGAAAGTCGAACGCATGGCGCACTCAGAGACAAGAA